GGCCACCTCATGCGAAGTGTTGACTCATTGGAAAAGACCCTGATGCTGGGAGGGATGGGGGCAGGAGGAGAAGTGGATGACAGAGGATGAGATGGTGGATGGCATCACTGACTAGATGGACATGAGTTTGAGTAACCTCTGGGAGTTGGTGATGGACAGGGAGGCCTGGCATGCTGTGATTCATGGGGTCTCAGAGAGTCGGACATGACTGAGCGACTGAACTGAACTGAACTGAGAGCTAAAAATGAACTGTATTCAACTAATTTCTTATAATGGCACAGGCTGAATTAACTTCAGAATGTAGACCCTATTATTGTTTTACTTTTTTTGAAACATTGTTTGATTTGTTTTGTCTCTGGTCCCTTTGTCTAATACTATTTTTATATACTACATCTCTATCTCTCCAACTGTTTATTAGATATTTTATCTTTTATCCATCTTTTAAAAAATGTTTTATTGGAGGATAATTGCTTTGTGTGTGCTAGTTTCTGCTATATATCAACATGAATCAGCCACAGGTATATATACAGGTATCCCTCGTAAACCTCCCTCCCACCTCCCACCCCATCCCACCCTTCTAGGTTGTCACAGAGCACTGGGTTGAGTTCCCTGTGTCACAGAGCAAATTCTCACTGTTTTACATGTGGTAATGTATATGTTTCCATGCTACTCTGTCAATTCATCCCACCCTCTCTTTATTCTCTTCTTTCATAGAGTGTTATAAATATAAGCCTTCCAATATTTGCAAAACTCTTTCAAAGTTTCTGAAAGCAGGTTGCTAGCTCCTAAGGTGAAGATAAATTAGAGTCTCATTGTAAACATCACAATATAATCTTATTCTGTGGGTACCAAAGCATCAGCATAAATTTGTGTGGTCTCACATCTTCCTCCAAATGCATTATGTTTTAGTGGTCTCAGCTGGATATCTGGATCAAAATAAAGAATCTTGGTGAGACGCTCATGCTTCACTATAGCTCAACTTTCCCAAGGTCATAAATAATGAAAGACAAATTGTGCCTTCCTAGCATATCCAATGAAGTCATCAGGCCAAAAGGCATGGCAGTGGAACAGGGCATTAGGAAATAATCAAGCAATTTGTGCATGAATAGAAGCAACATCTGTTGGATCCTGATCTCTGCACTTTGTGTTTTTCAAAACAGGTGCTTAATTTTCCTGTGCTAATAACTGTGTAAATTGTAACATTATATCATCTTCATGAGAAATACTAATCCTTCCTTCCCTCTTGACAAATATTTGTTAAACTCCTTTCAATATCTCCTAAATTTAAAAGCCATATATTAAAACTATGTATTAATCATTAAGCTCATGGTAACTGACTGGTCAATATTCATTTCATAAGAATAGAAAACACAATGGGAATTTGAAACCTATACTGGGTTTTATCCATTTAAGAACACCTGGTAGCTTTAAGCATAAAATAATTTGTCCTTAGTTTCTTTAAAAAAATACTTTATTAAAATATAGTTGATTTACAATGATGTGTTAGTTTCTGGTATATAGCAAAGTGATTCAGTTATAATGAATCACTGGACTTCCCAGGTAAGTGGTAAAGAATCTGCCTGCCAATGCAGGAGACCTGGCTTCAGTCCCTGGGTTGAGAAGATCTTCTGGAGAAGGCAATGGCTACTTACTCCAGTATTTTTGCCTGGGAAATCCTACGGACAGAGGAGCTTGGCGGGATGCAGTGTATGGGGTCACAAAGAATCAGACATTACTGAATGACTGAACAGCAGCAACATAAATATATAAAATAGTTTACATGTACTAATCCCAAACTCCCAATCCATTGCTCCCCCACCTCTCCTCTCCTCTGTTAACCACATGTCTGTTCTCTATGTCTGTGAGTCTGTCTCTGTTTCATAGGTAAGTTCATTTGTATCATATTTTAGATTCCAAATATAAGTGAAATCATATGGCATTTGTCTTTCTCTTTCTGACTTGCTTCATTTAGTATTATAATCTCTAGGTCCATCTAAGTTGCTGCAAAAGATATTATTTCATTCTTTTTTTTTTTTTTACAGCTGAGTAGTATCAGGGTCCATGGAGGAGGACATGGCTACCCACCTCCAGTATTCTTGCCAGAGAGTCCCCATGGACAGAGGAGCCTGGTGGGCTACAGTCCACAGGGTCAAAAATTGTTGGGTGTGACTGAGTGACTAGGCGCCACACAGCGCAGTTCCAGGGTGCCCATGCTCCATGCCACGTAACCTTGTCAGCCATGTATGACTATATCAGGATTAACATTTTTAAGATGGCCTGGAAAGGGTTAATGGTAATTAGTAGGTCCCACTAGATTCACTCATTATCAAGAATTTGAATATGGAAATATGGAGAAAATTAGTTAATTGGTAGCTAGAGGGGAAATAGACATAGTAACTGAGCTGTGTTGGTAGCAGAAAACGAGAGTGATGTGAGGACTGTCAAAGTGGGGGGAATTAAAAGTTGACTAGATTTTTAGAGCTGTCCTGGTGACTGAAAGATGGTTTGGTGCCTTGAGGACCAAGAGTGCTGTGGACTGGGAACTTGATTTTTGTGAATTTCTTTGATGATTAATCATGTGCCTAGGATTCTTACTTTCTTCATTTGCCTGTGCATACTATCAATTAGATTCTTATTAATTAAACATTCTGTATTTTGCACAGAGAATAATGCACACACACAACCACACATGCATGTACTTTATTTACTATTTTTGAGAATTTTTGCTATATTCTAACCAAGATTTTAAGGAAATAGCCAGTAAAGGGAAATCAAGCACTCATGAAATCATGAGAGCAACATCTCTAAATTAAGACGAGTAAGGAAGGGCTTCTCAGGTGGCTCAGTGGAAAAGAATCTGCTTGCCAGTGCAGAAGCCTCAGGATATGTAGGTTAGAGCCCTGGGTTGGGAAGATCCTCTGGAGAAGGAAATGGTGACCCACTCCAGTATTCTTGCCTAGAAAATTCCATGGACAGAGTAGCCTGGCTGGCTAATCCATGGGGCCACAAAGAATCGGACAGGACTGAGTGTGCATGTGAAAGTTAGTGAATTCTCATCAATGTTAATTACTTTATATAGAATGGAAAAAATTTAATGGTTATATTTTTAAAGATAATAGAACTATGGAATGTACATAAGTTAATTTCTAGATACCTTGAAATTTTAACTGAAGCCATGTCAAATAAAATCAAGCATATTTAATATTATATTCGAAAATATATTAAGAAGCTGGGGAGTATAGCTTCCTATAAAATGAAATTATAGACTTTAAGCTTTCATAAATTATCTGTTGTGTGGTAAAAAGAATAAACAATGCTTACTCAGTATTGAATATATGGCCTATACACAAAACTGAATTTTCCAGAAAAACTTTGTTAGACTATCCTTCATCAGTCATAGACACAGAATTGTATGGTGAGTCAGAAATAATCTTAGTGACTAGGACTTGAGAAATCTAAAGAGATTGAAAGCAAAAGATACTCAAATGCAGTGTTATCACTGCACATAAATTTCAAGTGCCAAAGATTTGAGAAGACACCAGGAAACAGATTTATGAGTTATATCTCAGAACCACTGGCTAGCATATGGTCTGAAGTCACCGCAGTCCAAAGATTCTGACAGTGTTGTTTCTCCTCTTTCTGTCCTCCAGTTTGTGAGTTAATCCCACCATATCTCAGCTTGCAAACTTCCCATCCAACTGGATTCAACTCTACTTTTCTTGGACTATCTTGATACATTTAAAAAATGCTCCTATTAAGTGAGGAAAAGGATTGTTGATTTAAATAGCTATAATTATGATCTGTAATATATATATATATGTATATATATATGTGTATATATATATATATTTGTGTGAATATATTCTCAAAATCTGGGTCTGCATTGCTTGGAAAACCTCTATGAGGACAAGGACCCTCTGCTGTGCATGTTTCTCTCCTCAGTGCTTAGCTCAGTAACCAGGCACATAAAAGATGGTCCATAAAGATTTGGTACATTAATAATACTTGAAAATAGTTTAAAAATTTCTCTGCCCAGTTCTCCAACCCTGCCATTTTCAATCAGCTGTTCATTCTTTGTTTCTTTACCCTGAATAGCATGGTTTAGATTTACTGGAATCTGATGTATGATAGGAAGAATGATATGAATAATAGAGCTGAAGAAGATGCTTTACAATTTGGCTTTCTAGAACACTGAAATGTACAACTTAATCAATATAATTCTCACAACACTCAATTGTCTTGGAAGTTTTTCAGGAGATTTAGTAGGTAGAGTTTTGATGATTTGCTGAAGTAGCAGTATGAGAGAGGATTAATATTTGAAAAAAATTGTTGATTGAAACTAAATGGAACTAAAGATTCCAGTGCAAATCCTATTAGTTACAAAGAATTGTTTTTAATACACTGATGTTTTCTATAATATACTATTTACCACTGAATTGAAAATCAAACTTCAATAAGAAAAACTTTTATTTATATACATACATTTTCTATTATCATTCTTTATTTTTTAATTTTTGAATAGTTGCAAGGGGCTGTTTGCTGATTCGGTGGCATCCAAAATGCTTTTATTTACTTTCAAGAACTAAATGAATTAATGACTATTTTATAGAAAGAAAAGAGAGTTTTACTTATAATTCTTTTAACATTTGCTATTTTGTAGATAGTCTTCATGAGTAGAACATATATTTATTGCTTATGGAACTGTCATTATTAATATACTTTTATTATTTTGACTGAATATTGTTTCTATGTTTCACTGAACAAACTTTAAAGCCAAAGATTTTATTTATAACACCTTTAAGATCTAAACCCTTTAGATCTTAAAACTTAATCCCCAGAAGTCCTAAATGTTTGCAGAAGGAGTCAATATATTTCTCTGTAATCTGTTTCTTTCCTCTTCTCTTTCTGCCTCTCTATCTGTCTCTTTCTCCCTCCCTTCCTCTCTCTCCTGTCTTCTCATTATGTTACATTCTGACTAAAATTAAAATGTGGATATTTAGAAGCAGTTTTCTTTACATCAGAAAGTGAAGTCATCTGGTGAGAATGACATGTAAGTAGTGTCCAATTTCACTTTAGATAAATCTCCGTCTATTTTGCCAAACTGGTTTGGCTGCTAGGATTTGTGTTGACCCATCAGGTTAGTGGAGAAAATGAACTTCTAAGTCAGGCAAATGTTGGATATCTGCCTTATTAAAGAATTGTCAAAGTTTTGATCTTTGAGCTGGCTTAAAAGTTGTTTTTAAGTGATAACATTTGGTTTACATAACTTCTGTTTAAGTAATCTATTTTATATAAATACTAGCACTGTTTCAGGTAATACAAAAATGGGCAAAAAACAGTTCTGATTCCTGACAATGGGAAATGTTTCCTGATTCCCAGCAACTTTCTACAATACGTAAGTGAAAGTGAAAGTTGCTCAATCGTGTCTGACCCCATGGACTCTCCAGGCCAAAACACTGGAATGGGTAGCTGTTCCCTTCTCCAGGGGATCTTCCCAACCCAGGAATCAAACCCAGATCTCCCGCATTGCAGGCAGATTCTTTATCAGCTGAGCCACCGAGGAAACCCACAGTATGTAAGGCAGAAGTTAGATTACATTCTCTGTTTTCAGTAATAGCTCCTTAGGGCCATGGTTGGTTGCGGGGCAGAGGAATGAATCATTGAACATTATCTAAATTCAGCCTGGGAAATGCATTCTACTGGAGTTTCTAAAAATCCGCTCACAGAGCAAGAGAAGAGAGAGAAAGAAGAGAGAAGAGAGAATAAAGGGATGAACAAACCGTGAAGTGACAGGCATTCCTAAGAAGTTCCTTTATACTAGTATGTCTAACAGGCAACTGAAAAAAACTCCACATAACTATTTAACATCTAAGTTGGTACACTCAAAGTGGAACTTTTGGATCCATGGGCCAAATTAGATTTTTCCTGTTTCCCTTTGGCTCAGAAAATGACACCTTCATATGGTCAATTGCTTAAGCCAAAAATTTAGAAATTGTTCTTTGTTTCTCTCTTTCTGCCAGTCCCATGTAGAACACATCAGCAAGGTCTCCTGGCTTTACCTCCAAAATATTCTTCCTCCCTCTTCATTTACTACCATCCTGATCATCACCACCCTAGGTCCATCCATCATAAGTCACTTGGATGCGTCACCTACTTTTGCTACCTTCCCTTGCCATCTGTCTTCTTCTCAGCATACATAGTGATGCTTTCAGACTATCCCTGATCATATCTTCCTTCCGCTGAAAACCTTAACTGGCTCCCTATTACACTTGGAATGAAACAGGAACTCCCTGATGTGGTTGGTTGATCCACACCAGCTCTGATCCTTGCCAACCGTACTGGCCTCATCTTACACTTCTGCTGTTGCTCTCTGTACATTACTCTGATCTTCTTTCTGTCTTTCTCATCATGCTTGTTACTGCCTCAGATCTTCCTTTGATTGCTATTTTCTGTTCCTGCAACTCTTTTCTGGGTCTTTTTTGTGGCTGGTTCGTCACAATTCAGGTCTTAACTCAAATGGGACTTCTTTAAAGAGGTCTTTCCTGTCTAAAGGAAGGCTTATGTAAAGTAACTCCCTGTAACTTACTACTAACCTAAGTTTTCTTTTGTCAGCTTACTAGAATTTATGCTATTCTGACATTAGCTTGCTTATTCATTTGTTCAATTACTTATTTTCCATTTTTTTCTCCCACTGAAAACAGAGCCTGAAGGCAGGAACTTGTCACATCTCAGCTTCTAGAAAGTGCTGAGCACCTTGCCAGCATTTCATATATACTCAGTGAATGAATGATTGAATTCATGAGTGGACAAAATTATAGAAGGAAGTCCTCCTGCAATGCAGGAGATGTAGGTTCGATCCCTGGTCTGGGAAGATATCCTGGGGAAGGAAATGGCAACCCACTCCAGTATTCTTGCCTGGGAAATCCCATGGACAGTGGAGCCTGATGGGCTACCCTCTATGGGGATTGTACATATAGTGTTTAAATATTTGTACAAAATCTTTAAACAGGATAACACCTAGAAAAAAAAAAAATCAGTGTTTACCCAAATGTCGGTTTAAGAAGTTAGAGATAGAATGTAGCTGATAAAAATACCTCAGTTGCCTTAAAAGAAGCTTATACTCTGTCCAAAACAGAGAAATAGACCCGAGAGACAGAGCAAGAATAAAGCCTAGAAAGGGTAAAGGATGGTAAATACTAGATTAAGATGCATTTTCTAGTAATTAGATTAAGAGTTTGCAGAAACATGTCCCACCACTGGATGACCACTTTTGAAGTAATCGCAGAGAGGCTTCATGTTATATTCTGTTCTGTAGACTTACAGATTTTCAGTAGAGTGCCTTGCTGAATCCTTCAAAGATAACAGGCAAAATGCCTCAGAACACCAAGAGAATCTAGAAAACAGGCAGTGTCATAAGTAAAGGAGTATCGCAAGGGTACCCCCTTGTGGCAGGAGAACATATATTCTAAATGAAGACTGTAACTAGAATTTGCTAAATCTTTCCTATCTTATACCCAGGTGGTGCTCAGTCAGTCAGTTCAGTCGCTCAGTCGTGTCGGACTCTTTGCGACCCCATGAATCGCAGCACGCCAGGCCTCCCTGTCCATCACCAACTCCCGGAGTTCACTCAAACTTATGTCCAGGTGGCGCTAGTGGAAAGAAATTGCCTGCCAATGCAGGAGACCTAGGAGATCCAGGTTGGATCCCTGCATGGTCGGGAAGATCCCCTGGAGAAGGAAATGGCAACCAGCTCCTGGAAAATCCCAGGAACAGAGGAGCCTGGTGGACTACAGTTCATGGGGTCATAGAGAGTTGGACATGACTGAAGCAACCTAGCATAGTCATACCCATTATATTTGAATTATGAGTTAATTGTACCATATTCATTAATTTCATGTCATTATGTTTGCTTTTATTTCCTTTTCTCTCTTTTAAGCAAGTTAAAGAAATACAACACATATAGAAAAGTATACAAATTACATGTTGATAAATTTATCATAAATTGAACATACCTGTGTAACCAGCACCCAGATCAAGAATATTATTACACGAACACTTACAACATTCCCCTCGTTTCTGCTCCTAGTCACTACTCCTGCAGGGGGGCCACTATTCTGATTTTTAACACCATAGGTAGGTTTTGACTATACTTGAATATTGATAGATCATTCTTTTCCCACCTGGCTTCTTTCACTTAACGTTATGTTTGTGGGATCCATCCAGGTATATTGTGTGAAGGTATCATTCTTTTGTTCTCATTGCTATACAGTATTTCATTTTGTGAATATACCATAACATATTTATTTGTTCTACAGCCAATGGGCATTTGATGAGTTTTCAGCCTGGGAGTATTACAAAAGGTGCTGTTGTGAACATTCTTGTGCATTTCCTGTGACGGATAATGCATAGGAGAGTGCACAGTTGGTAGAACTGAGGAGTCACGAGGTACTCTATGTTCCACTTTCACTGATATTGCCCACTAATTTGCAAAGTGGTTGTACCAGTTTATACTTTTATAACCAGAATTGCTATTGTGCCACATTTTAACCAACAATTGGTCGGTCTTTTTCATTTTAGTAAATCTGGTAGGTGAATAGTGATATCTCATTGTGGCTTTAATTTTTATTTTCTTGATGATTGATGAAATTGAATATTTTGTATATGTCTATTCACCATTTATGAAGCACTAATTTTTCTATTGGTTTTTCTCCTCTGATTTTTAAGTGTTCTTGAACTATCCTGGATATGAGTTCTCTGTCAAATATATGAATTGGAATGCTCCCATCAAAATTTGTGGGATGTATTTTCATTTTTATTGGTGTGTCTTTTGATAAGAAATCCTATTTTTAATATTTTTCACTTTATCAGATTTTATAGTTAGCTTTTTTTTTTTTTGCATTCTATTTAAGAATTCTTTATCTACTCCAGAGGAGCCAAGATGGCAGAGGAATAGGACGGGGAGACCACTATCTCTCCTACAAATTCATCGAAAGAACAATTGAACGCTGAACAAAGTTCACAAAACAACTTCTGATTGCTAGCAGTGGACATCAGGTGCCCAGAAAAGCAACCCATTTTTTTTTTTGCATTCTATTTAAGAATTCTTTATCTACTCCAGAGGAGGCAAGATGGCGGAGGAATAGGACGGGGAGACCACTATCTCTCCTACAAATTCATCGAAAGAACAATTGAACGCTGAACAAAGTTCACAAAACAACTTCTGATTGCTAGCAGTGGACATCAGGTGCCCAGAAAAGCAACCCATTGTCTTCGAAGGGAGGTAGGACAAAATATAAAAGATAAAAAGGGAGACAAAAGAGCTAGGGACGGAGACCCGTCCTGGGAAGGGAGTCTTAATAGAGGAAGTTTCCAACCACCAGGAAACCCTCGCGCTGGCAGGTCTGAGGGAAGTTTTTAAATCTCGGAGGGCAACCTAACTGGGAGGAAAAATTAAATAAGGCCCACAGATTACGTGCCTAAAAGCAACTCCCAGCAGAAAAGTACCCCAGACTCCCGCACCCGCCACCAGCAAGTGGGGGCGAAACAGAGAGGAGTGGGCGGCACTGTTTAGGGTAAGGACTGGGCCTGAAGGCCCTGAGAGCAGTCGGAGGGAGATTTTTAAACTGTGGGATAGCAAGAGAAAATTAACTGGCCCGAACACACTGCCGGCGGTTCGCAAAACAAAGGGACCGAGGAACTCCAGAGAAGAGCCGGCCCATCCCCGCTGGAGGTAGGAGGCAGAGGGGAGGGGAAAAGGGCAAACTCCGCCCCTGAGAAGCCACCCCCTCCCTCACTGCAAACAGGCCCCCGGTTCCTATCTAAAGACTTCCTGAGACCCGACTGGCGGCGCGCGCTGGGGCCGCGGAGGGAAAAGGCGCGCCGCACCTGGGGAGAGTGCGCCCAAGCCTCTGGCTGCCTGAACCCCTCAGGCCGGGGAAGGCACAAAACACAGGCGCAACCGATCCGCGCTTTTGTGGAGTACCCGAAAACTGGAACCGCACTCAACGCAGGGCCCGCTCCATATAGAGCAGCCGGGAGCCTGAGCAGTGT